AATGATTATATATCCACAAAAAACGGAGAGAGAGAGGCACGTCTCCTTCTTCTTCTTCTTCTTCTTCTTCTTCTTCTTCTCAACGGCTCACATACCAAGCACACCTCTTCTTCTTCCTGCCTCTCCCACCTTTGCTCATGGATTTCTTTCCATTCTGAAGCGAGACAGTTTCTTCTTTTCCATATTTCTTTTTTGTTTGTCTATAGTGTCATAGAGAGCCTGGTGGGACCGTTACCAACCCTACTTCCAAGTAATTGCACATCTGCAAAATTTAATTCTCGGAAGTACAACAATATGTACATCAGGCATGAGCGGAATAAAAACTTTGAAAATCCGGAATAATGAAGAAGGAATGAAATTTAAAAATCAGGAATAAGGAATAAGGAATAACAATTTAAAAATCCGGAAGAAGGAATAAGGAATAAGGAATAGAAAAAAACACCCGGAATAAGGAATAAGGAATAAGGAACGAAAGTTTTCACGATGCTAACTCAATTTCATCTTTCCGTTTTTTCTCGCCAATTGCTTCATTTTTCATCTGAAATTTCCCAATTTCACATTTTTAAATTGACAAAAAAACCTTTCCATTTAATTTTGGTTGATATCTGCTCAAATGATAAGAAGCAGAATTCGTTCCACTCGTTTTTGTCCAAATAATTTTCGCGTCATATTCTTGACAAGTTGCCTCGTTTTCTGTTCTGACGAAGAATTCGTCAACTTGCTCCATTTTTTAGACATTTTTTCTGAAGTATTTAGTAATTTTAAAAACCAAATTTATTTCGAAAAAAACACTGAGAAAAACGCATAACTTTTCCAAGATTTCCAAAAAAAAAATTTCGAAAAACGGTGCAAAGGTGCTCCGCTGAACAAAATGTTACGCGGCAATTTAGAGCGTTCAATTTTTTCCCAGTTTTGAGAATTTTTTTCTGATTTTTGATAGAAAAAAGTTTTAAAGTTTTGAAGAGAAATAACAAAAAAAATCAGTAATAAGGAACAAGGAATAACAATTTTAAAATCCGGGATAAGGAATAAGTAATAAGGAACGAAAAATTTAAAATCCGAAAGAAGGAATAAGGAATAAGGAATAGAAAAAAGACCGGGAATAAGGAATAAAGAATAAGGAATTCCGCTCATGTCTGATGTACATGATGGCCCATAGTCACCCGGACTAACGCTTGTACTAGCATAAAATTTGAGTAGAGCGTTTAAATTTATCGACAAATTGTCGACAAAAATTGCTATTAATCGCCGGAATTACTTGTAAAAAACCGTATCGTTACCATTTTTTTCCTATGACGTCTTGGATGATGGCCAAACTTACCCATGCAAAATTTATAGGCTATCTGGCTTAGTGGCCTAACTTTCCCAAAACGAATTTTTTAGGCCACATCTTTTTTCGTCTTAGAAATGATCTGATGTTCACCTGATTTGTTTTTAGGTCATTTTAACATGGTGGCCTAACTTTCGCAAGTTGACTTCTAGACCACCATGTAAACATGAGCTAGAAAACAAACCAGATGGATATCTGATCATTTCTAGGCCAAAAAAGTTGGTGGCCTAGAAAACTCAACTTGCTAAAGTTAGGCCACCACCCCAAAATGGCTCAGAAAACGTACCAGGTGAATATCTGACCATTTCTAGGCCAAAAAGGTTGGTGGCTTAGAAAACTCAACTTGCGAAAGTTAGGCCACTATGTGAAAATGGCTTAAAAACGCACCATGTTAACATCAGATAACATCAGATAATTTTCAGGTCAAAAAGTTTGGTGGCCTAGAAAATTCATGTTGGGAAAATTATGCCACCAGGTCAGATGGCCTAGAAAAAATATGAAATACGAGTTTTTACAAGTAATTCCTGCGGTTAATAGCAATTTTTGTCGATAATTTGTCGACAAATGCCCTTTTCGACAAATTTATCGACAACGTGTCGCCAAAGTTTTGTCGATAAATTTGTCGATAAATTACTTTCGACAAATTTACCGATAATTTGTCGACAATTTATCGACAAAAGTTTATCGTTTTTTATCGACAAATTTATCGATAATTTGTCACGTAAATTTGTCGACACAATCGGAAAATCTTTGTCGATAAGGCACACTGCTTTGAATCAAACTCACAATTATATTTGTACCAATTTTGGTGCTTCCAAGATACTTAAGCCGAAAGAAATACCCGTTTTTATCAGTTCGGGTAATTGGGTGCCACCTTATACAAATTTGAGTCAAATATTCAAGGCAAACCTGATCACTGAATAATGCATTTAAAGTTTTCAAATAAGTTAAAAAAGGGCCTCTACAGTAATCCCTCTTCGTAACTAACCTCTTGTGGAAGAATACATGACGAATCTGGCCTGTTTTGAGAGGCCAACGGCACCTGCACGAACCGCCGCCATCGTGTTCCTCTTGTTCGCTCCTGAGCAAAAATTTTCTCATTTTCCGAAAACCAAAAAAAAAAGAAAGAACAAAAGTGTGTTGCTCCAGAGAGCACTCAAAACCCGAAAACGCCAAAAAATGCATTTTTGGGTAGTGGGGCGCAATGGATTTAGAGACACTCTTCAGAATGAGAATAATGGAAAAATGGAGAAAGAATGGAATTGTTGGGGCGGGGTACCTGAGGAGAGAGAACATTCTAGAAAATGCATGACATTCTGTTCAAACAATTGCGAAAAATTGAGGTTCAATTTATTAATAAAAAAACCCAACCGGAAAAGGTGAAACCGATTCATTCTGGAAACAGTTGGAGAAGAATGAATGGATGGATGGAAGCAAAAAAAAAAGTAAAGTTGAGGGATTAGGTAAAACGACGGGGTTGTTTTGTGTGCAAAAAAAAACCGAAAAAAGGAAAAGTCAGCGAGTGTGGGAATGAATTTTGATATCACTTACTGGGCAGTAAGTTACTGATATAAGTTGGGAAAAACAAAAATATATAGAATCTGAAAAAAAGCAATTTGGGTCGAAGAACACTTGAGAGAAAACTGCATTATGAAAGATGTCGTTTTGGGGTGGTCAGAAAAAAGAATGTGACTCTGAATTTCAGAATCTCAAAATTTTAGAAATTCAAAATTTCGGAATTCCTGATTTTCAAATTTTAAAGTTTCAGAAACTTTCAAAATATCAGAATCTCAGAATTTCAGATTCTCAGCACTTAAGAAGATCGATATTTCACAACTTCGGAATTACAGATTTGTTGGTTTTCAAAATTTCAGAATCTCAGGACTTCGAAATTTCAAAGTCTCTGAATTTCGGAATTCCTAAATTTCGGTTATTCTGATTTTTCCACTTTCAAAAGTTTCAGATTTTCAGAATTTCAGAATTTCAGATTTTTAGACTTTCGGAGTTTCAGTATCTCAAAATTCCAGAATAACAAATTTGTAGGCTTTCCACTTTTCAGAGTTTCAGAATCTCAGAATCTCAGAATTTCAGATATTCAGAATTTCAGAATTCCAGAATTTCAGAATATCAGAATATCAGAATGTCAGAATTTCAGAATTTCAGAGCTTCAGAACTTCAGAGTTTTAGATTTTCTAATTTTCAGAATGTGAGAAATGCAAACTTTCAGAATTATTGATTTGTAGGCTTTCGAAATTTCAGAACTCCAGTATTTAAGTTTTTTTCTGGTTTTCAAAATATCAGAATTTCAGAATTTCCAAATTTCAGAATTTAATAATCTCAGAATATCGGAATATCAGAATCTCAGAATTCCAGAATTTCGGAATTTTAGTCTTTCGGAGTTTTAGAGTTTCAGATTTGTGGGCTTTCGAAATTTCTGAATTTCATAATTTCAGGCTTTCAGAATTTTTAGATTTTCTGGCTTTTTAAGTTTCAGATTTTTAAATTTTAAGACAAAAATTTCAGAAATTCAGCATCTCAGAATCTCAGAATTTTCAATATTTCAGAAATTCGATATTTCAGACTTTAAGATTTTTAAAATTTCAAAATCTCAGAATAACAGATTCTTTGGCTTTCAGGATCTCAGAATTTCGGCATTTCAGAATTTCAGAACTTCTGGATTTCCGAATTTCTGAGTTACAGATTTCTGGGCTTTCGAAATTTCAGAATCTCAGAATTTTAGGATTTCAGATTCAGAATTTTCATGTCGAGATGATTTTCCAAACGCTTTCAGACAAGTCATGATTCTAGTTCCCCAATCCAACCTCGTTCTTCTATTCAACCCTATTCATCCATTGTGCAAAAAAGTTAATCTATGTAAAAAGCTAAAAGCAAAGGGAAACGAAAAAAAGCAAAAAAATTCACATGACATCACTCTGAACTTTTCGTTTAGTACAAGCCATAGCAACATCATTGGGAATTGATGGGAAAAATAGAAAAATAATATTCGGGAGAGGGAGTGGGACGTAACAGGGTCATATGAAGCGGGAGCTCTTTTTCAATTTGATTCGAATTTCCGGAACACAAAAAATAGAGAAGTAGAGAGGAGTGGAAAGAGATGGAGGGTTCGGATAATGTTCTTGGAAGGACTACTGTGTTTTTAAAGCAATTTGAATACCGTAAACCTGTAATTGAGCCAAGTTATATCGGTTCCTGTCAAAGATATAAAAATTTTGTCAACTAATGAGTTGCTTATCATATCAACCACATTTTATCAGTTGACACAATTTTGATAGCTTTCAGAGGAACAGAGTTAAATTGAATCAAACTTGATAGTGGGTGGGCTTCCTTCTATTACAGGTTTTACGGTAATTAGAAATTTTCCTAATTCCAGCCAATATTTGCATCATTCTAGGTCATTTTGTGGTTAAAAGGAAACCTGCAATTAATATATTTGCAGACCACACAAAATTTTTTAATTAGAGTGCCCATTTTTAATTGCGCCTAATTAAAACGAGGAAGTTAGCTAGATAGCGAAAAATAAGGGCAAAAATAGAAATTTAACAAAAAAGCACCTGATCTTTGTAGTAAAAAAATCGGAGCTGTGGAGGTTAAAGAACGAAAACGACAGTAACCTGAAAAATATGTTTATTTTTTTGATTTATTTTCTCGTTTCTCACTGTTTTTCGTAGAAAAGTCGTGAAATAGTGAAAGAATCGACAACTGAAAATCGACAACAAAAACTATTTTCAAAAGTTTAAAACATCAGAGTCCTTTTTTTGTTAACTGGAAATTAACGCGGCACCCATATGGAGACATGCCGCCCATGTTTACTCGTTTAACCGAAATTTCTCTTCAGCTATTTTCCTTTTTTGTTGATTGCTTGAATAGCGAAAAGTGCGAGCAATTTGTGTTCTTCATTCAATTTTTATTCGGATTTTTATGTCACAATAGGTGTTTTTTCCGGAACATTTTTAAATTTGTTTTCTCGTGCGTTTCCGATAAAGAACAGTTCATTTCAAAGCTTTCGTGTCGAAATAAGGGTACGATGAATTCGAACTTTCCCGAAATCGAACTGTCCCGAAATCGAACTCGTTCGAATTAGAACTGTCCCTTTTTCGAACACGCCCAGAACAGAACAAGAACAGAATCGAACTGCTACGAATTCGAACTATGCGGTGTCGAACTGTCCCGGATTGGAACTCTGTTAGCAACAGGGCGCGCTTGCTTTTTAAAATTATTTTTGTGAGACCCCGCAAAGAACATTGACCACTGTTTGAGGGACTCGATGAGATCTGCCAGCTCAGCTCTGGAGGCTCTCTGGCTGCTGCCACTAAGCTCAACAAGCAGAAGGTGGACATTGCAATCAACTGGATGGGAGGACTTCACCACGCCAAG